CAACTTGAAAGCAAAACTGCACTTCTAATAAATGCCTTCCTCTAAATTAAGGAGGAACATGATTGGTCATGTGCCACACAAGAGATGGAGTATGGCATTTCTTCATTTCATATGATGGCTGTGCTGCTTCCTTTTTTTCTTTTAATTTTTTGAAGGTGAGAGGAAAGGTTGTGCTTTATTAATGGAATAGCATTCTTCTGATATGCCAAAAGCGCTTGAAAGCCTGCGTCTCTCAACCTCCTTATGGGAAGGAAAAATACTGTTGCTTTGGATTAGGTTTATTTAAACCTCAGGAGAACAGACTTGCATCCATTTTCATTCTTTCAAAGGAAGCTTTGTTTTGTTTGCCTTGCTCTCTGCTTTCCACAACAAACTGCTGAGTTTTAATTCAGAAGCTTCGTTCAGACTAGGAAACAACAGAATTATAGGGGTTTTTCCACTACTGGTGCCAGCAAAATGAAAAAACACAGTACATTGGGACAACAGGTGGCAGGTTGGCACTATTGGCAAGTGCCATATATTGGAAACGAGCATCTGAAAACCTGAATTTGTCCCAATATAGAGAGATCACATCCTTGTCTGGTTATACTCTGGAAACACGAAGTGTATAGCACTTCCAAATGCAAGGGACTTTTACCTCATTCTTGCATGTCACCCTTCCTGCTAAGACTTCCAAGTGTTTTGGCTTCAGTTTTCTTTATTTTGGTGACTTCTGATTTTGCCTCCTTTCCTGAGAACTGCTATTGCTTTGTCTTCCCCATTCATATTCTTTTTTCCTTCTTTTTTGCTGCATGGAGACTCTCTGCTGTACAAGTGTAAGTATTTTTTTAGCTCTGCAGTTTCTGCCCTACTTGTTTATGTTTTTGTGCTCCATTTGCCTCTGTACTGCCTTGTGAGTCTCCTGGGAGACTGTAGTGCCATCCATCTGCACCTACAAATGAAATAGGCAGCAGTTCAGGGATGAGATTGGATTTTACAAAAAGGTTCAGTTAGCATAGTGTCTGAATTTAAAGCATCCCTTGGCTTTAAGACCAAACCAAAGCAGAGTGCTGATGTCAGAGGTATAAGTAGTACAAATGTTACTGCTTAGAAAGAAAATCTGGTTTTATATTCAAGCATCATCCAGTTTAATGAAAGAATGGCTTAAAAATGGGCATAAACTAGGACTTTCTTGCCACTAGGATGGAAAAGATGTCAGGGGTTATCTCAGTTTGGTCAGTTGTGTTTCCTTTGTCTAGCTGAATCACCTTGAGCTTTTGACTGCTGTTCTCACCCTCTTGTGCTGCCACCCTGAATACGTTCTTGAAGCTGAAACCCCATATATTGTTTTGCTGGAAGGAGGGTTGAAGGGAGACTCTTTGGGGAGCTGAATTTCAAGAGGGAGGGGGAAGTTGTTCATTAGTTTGTTTGAAATCTTTTGAAAGGGAAGTGACAGGAGGGTCACAAAGCATCTCTGTATCTAATAGGATTGAATATAAATTACTTTGGAGGAAGAGGAGAAAAATACGGAAATGAGCACTGAGAGTAATTTCAATTATCTGTATAATCAAGGAATGTAGAGTATCTGACACCCTGTTGCTAAAAGTACATTGTTTTCTAGCACTCAAAACAAACTGATTTTAGTTGTTGTTTTTAATTCCCAGGATACTGATGTTCTTCCACAGTTGGTAATACAATTTAAGAAAACTCAAGACAGCTCATATAGTTTTATGAGGAAGGGAGTCAGAAGGGAGGAATCTGGAAAAGCGATCATGGGAAGAGATCCTGGGAGTTTAAAGTTAGCTTGGACGTATGAGAGTGTCTTACTCTAAATAAACCCTTATTTGGGAGCGTGGTGGAGATTTGCTGGGGTACCTTTGTTGAGCGATCGCCAGAGATCTCAGTGGTATAGGTGCAGTCAGACTTCTAAGAGGGCCTCCCGAGACCCAGAGATGCAGTTAATCTTTTTATCTGTTCTGCCAGGCATCCTACAGTGTGCTCACGAAAAAGTAAGCAAAACAAGGAAGTAGTTCAGGAGGTGGTCTGCTAGAATGGAAAGTCCCTGGGAGATGTGGAAGAAGTAAAGGAGGAGGGGCTGATACTAAGAGCTATTCCCCTGTAAAGGCCATGAGTGTAACGTAAGGCAGGAGAGCCACGTTGTGCTTGTGTGGCCAGAGGTGGTGGGAAGGCAGAAGGGGTGCATGTGCCAAGCCTGAACTGCTTCCATGAGCTGTGGGAAATGGGGCTCAGGCTGGAGGGAGGCAGAGAACTTTCCCTAGAGGAGTTCAGATAACTCCTCTGGTTATGACGTGCTCAGCTGCTGTAGCATACTGCACAGTGGCTGAGATATTAAGCTGAGATTAAGTCTAATATTTTGTAAAAAGAGCACACTGGCCTATTTAAATTAATGCTTTGACCCATTTTGGTCTGTGTGTGCATCTAGAAAGTTCACTTGGCAAGAAGCCTTTCATCTGTGCACTAAACAGGCTAGAAAACAGAAGGTTTTAAAATAAAAGTGTATGTATAGCTGTTATTCATGCTGTTAAAGCAAATGAGGGAGGCATCTCTATCCCTCTGCCTTTATCCCCAGCAACCAAGCTGCTGATGGATCATGTCAAGCTGACAGCAAGTTGTAGCAGTGATCCAGAGACTGGCTTACGGTCATCAGCACAAGCTCTGCAGGGTCACCTGGGGGCATTTTCTCGTCTGGGAAGGAAGCTGAAATCATTCTGTTCCTGGCTGTTGGGGGTGTGTTGGAGCATTTTAATTTCCTGCACAGGAACCTCCAAACTTGCCCCAGGCAAGTGGGTGCCCCAGGCTGATGCAACTTTCAGCTGGTCTGTGTTCATCCAGGAGCACCCTGAACACTGGCCGTGGCTGTGAAGTCGCTGAGCCATTGGAGGTCACCCATCAGCCTTGTTTTCTGTCCTCCTTTCTGATCTTTAGCACACAAGTTGCTGTGTTATCCTATTAGATGTAATTTCCAGTCACATCACAAAAAAAAAGTGGCAAGCAGACCAAAATGCATGCAAACATACATTAACAAGAGAAATGGCCCTATGGCTGAAAATCAAACCAGGGGACTACTGACAGTGACTCCTAATTGCTGTTCCCCAAATGCTGAGCTGCTTCAGCTCTTCCTTACATGAGGTGCGGATGCCTTTGGTTGTTTCACATTTGGGTGATGGATCGGCAGATGTCAAGGTGTGCAGGTCAGAGGCTTCCCAGCTGCCTACCCATTGCACAGTCCACTGCAATTTGACTGAAAAAGTTCAACACCTCTCCAGCCACTTGTCATCAAATCCGTTGCATTTAATTTATTGGTAACTCTCAAAGTAATGTATGACCTCTTGATGCAGTAACACATCGTTGCCCTGCTCATTAGTTTCAGGGTAGGTCTGCTCAGGTGGCGAACTATTTCCTGGCTGGTCTTGAAACTATTGTGTCATTTACTGGTGCTTGTCAAATGTGGAAGTGGAAACATGCGGCAGATGAAGGTATCTGTTTTTCCCAGTGATGTGCATGGCAATGAAAACAAAACTCTGTTGCCCGGACAGTGCTATCACTGCCTCCTCTGTAGTCTGTAAGTCCTTTTCTGCTCTTGAGAAGATGGGTAATAATTTTCCTGTTACGGAAATCTGTCATAACCCTGAGCATGTGAATAGTGGCATAATAATCCTCCTGACTACTTTGGATGGGAATACGAATTCAGTATATGTAAGTCTTTGCACTGAACATTCCATACATAAAATCTAGCAAATGTTTACCGTAAACAATTCATTATTTGTCTGAAATGTCAGTGCCAACTGTGTCTTTCTGGCTTATGTAAAATTGATACTACTGAACTCGATCAACAGTTCTATTAATGAGTTATGAGCCATAACAGTTTCCTGACTGACACTCCAGATTTGAGGCCACTAGGCTTCAGGAGGAGCAAGGAAGTGGAAGTGTATGGGTGTCACTAAAGCCAGCATGTATGACTCTACCACAAAAGGAGCCCATCTTTGTAGAAGCTGAGTCATTTTAAATTAACTCTTTAGAAAACCTGCAGGGCAGCTTTTTGTTTAAAAGGCTTACAGTGCTGAGCTAGGTTAGAGTTCGGAATTGGTGACGCATGCATTTCCTGTAGCAAAACTGTCTTTCTTGCCACGCAAACTTTCAGAAGAGTTCAAGCAAGAAAATAAGGGCAACTTTCTTTCAAAAATAACAAACTCAGGTCTTAAGCCTGGGTATTGGCACTCTTCAGGCAACATACTCCTTTTTTCTGGGAATGTGAATATGAGAAGAATAATAGTGCATAACTTTCAGTAATGACATCGAATGTGTGCCAAGGTAACTTTCCACCTATTTTCAGCGTATCTTAAGTCCAGGGAGGCCATGTGTTTGCTGGAGATATTACTAACACTGACACCGTATTTCTGCTTTTTGAAGAAGGGCTGTGTGCTGCCAGACTGCATGTTCCTAGGGAAGTTTGGTGAGCTGTGCGGTGGTGCCCAGAGGCATAGATATCTGAATTTTAATCATTCTCAGTACCATGTCACTAACAAATGAACTGAGGAAGTGTATTTTGTATGAAAAATAAAAGCCAGAACAAGGGGGAGACTGTTCCTGGTGTTGTCGTTAACTGTGTGGTACTGGGCACAGTAATTAATTTTTCTGTGCCTTATGATCTCAGATGCAGAGGTGAGGTTTTAGTAGTTCCCTTGTTCTACAGTTGGGGATCAACGAGTTAACGCTTGGACAGTTCAAATAATCATCCTGCGTACAGCCTATGGTTTTAGTGAGAAGAATAAACTACCTTCCTGATTCGGTTCAGCCAGTTGAACAAAATGCCAATTTAGAAAAAGTTCTGAATGTTTGAGACGGGGAGGAAAAAAACGCGTTCCCTCCTGGTGTTAAACCAAATGAGATCTTGAAATGATACACAGGCTTGAACTGATTTGTTGGATAGAAAGGAAAAGGTGTTCTTTGTCGTTTCTTCTGTCCTCTAAAGTAATTTTTGTTTTGTTTTATGTTGATAGATGACTCCTAAATCAAAAAGGAAAAGCATCCACAGTAGAATGCTCCGGCCGGTGTCCAGAGCTTTTGGTAAGTGAGAATTTCTTAAAACCTTTTTGCTTCTTTGCTTGCCTGAGATTCTTCTATTTAGTTTTTGACTGAAAAGCACAGACGACTCTCCCTCCCTCTGGATTGCATCTGAGGCCCCCACTGGTTGCTTTGTTTTGTGACTCTTCTAGCCTGTTTGGTAGTAAATATTTGTTCACAGTGCTCTGTCTGCTCACAAACATGTTGTGGCCGAGTTCTCTAAATGTGTTTATAATTATTTAGCACAAAAGAGAGGAATGGCATTGTCTTTTGTTTTAAATAGCATGTTAAGTCTAATTAGAAAGTTTTGATTTCTCTTAGAAATGGAATTTGATCTAGATAAAGCACTGGAAGAAGTACCTATCCATATAGAAGACCCACCATTTCCTTCCAGCAGGCCAGACAAACGAACTTCTGGATTCATTTCAGAGCTGCCATCAGAAGAAGGGAGAAAACTGGAACACTTTACAAAATTAAGGCCCAAAAGGAATAAAAAGCAGCAGCCCAGCCAAGCAGCAGTGAGTCTACATTAAACTATTGCTGGCGATATTGTCTGTTGATTGTGTGTTCACATGATTCAGGTCTTGCAATGTGATGAGATCAGCTGTTAAAAGTTTTAAAAGCCATAAGCAACCACTTAATTATTTTTTTCTGGTATTCATGTCTTTCAGTGTGCAATCCCTATTACAAGCTTTTTGTCTTGTCTGACACAGCCTAAAACCAGGATATGTTTTATCCTTTTCTAATTTGCTTTTGTTTTTTCATGGAAGAGGTTTCTGGAGGTACTTGAAGCTTTCACAGGAAACGCACAAAATATCATGAGACTTTTCAATTATATTGCAAGGGTTTGTTAAGTCTTAATCCTTTTTTCTGCCTGCATTAAGATGTGGTAACTTGGCATGGATTCTTATTTCTATCAGCTCTCAGAGGAGCTACTCTGTGACACCCAGCTTCCCACAGCTCCTTGACTAAAGATGGTGTTTGAGCCAGCAAATCTGCATAGTCACAGATCTGCTTTTCGTGCTGGAGCCTGCCTTAGAAAAGCAAAACAGAAGAGCACTGTCCGTCTGCGAAAGGCATTGGTGTGAACCCAAGTATATGTGTGTGGGGTTCCCACAGCTCCATTTCCTAGGCATGCCGAATCAATAAAGATTTGTTTCTGTGATGGTATGTCCTCGGGGTCTGTAAGGACAGATCTGGAGGAGTTACAGAGCTATCTCACAGCAACAGAGCACAGCTGATATGATAAGTAATCCTTATCAAGGGGCAGCCATTGCTTCTCTGAGTTATGCGGCCTCGTAATGAATGTCTGTGGCCTCTTCTGCTCCCTGAGGATTGTCGGCAGAGAGGACCCTTGAAAATTTTCCTAGTGCTGGGAAAGATCATATCAGGCAGCAGAGTGCTTTTTGCACCACTTGGAAATGGAGAAACCTTCAAGCAGATGGGATATTCAAGCCAACTTTCCGTTCCCTTGCACTTTACAGGTAAGGATAGAGGTAGCAGGAGGACGGGCTGGTTTCCGTGTTGTAGTGAAAACACATCTGTGTTTGCGTCTTCCAGTTTCAGTTCTGCAGGATGCACATGTTTTCCCAGTTGCTGAACTTGCCTCTCTTCCAAACTTACTCACCCATCTGCACAGGGGTGTGGAAGGAGTGGGGACATGGGAGGCAAGTGTTTCACTACCAGGCATGGAACTAGGACATAAAACATCTTGCTCAACAGAAGCAAAAAGCTTACTTCTCGTAGAGAAGTGTTACTTTCCATGACAGTGCAATGTTGTGGGAATGCTCATCCATATTGAATTAATTTGGAAATTGAGGGTTTATTTAGTTGCAGAAATTGAAAAGAATTTTTTTACTTAAACTAATTTGTTCCTGTCTTGTTTTTGTGGACCATTTAATTCCTTACTAGTTCTGACCTCATAACAAGTCTAAATAAATTTTTGAAAGACTTAAGATGTTTGCTTTGATGCTTCCAAAAATGAAAGAGCCAAATTTTGAAGGCCAGAGTCACGAATGGACTGTGGCATTGTACACGGAATTGATTTGCTGCTGGTTTTGCCTCTTTGAGAATACAGAAAGCAGTGGTTAGGAAAAGCACTTGAAATGTGAGAGGCAAAATCTTGACCTTTTCTACCGCTTAAAGCAGGTCTGTTGAGTTGTTTGCTGTTCCCATTATTTCCATTTAGTAATGTAAGGGGTCTCAAATGATCATAGCTGTACTTCTCTGTTTTTACTGGAAAGGAGATTTGTTCTTTGTAAGCTGAAGAATGTAAGAAAAAAGGGGGAAAATGGAGGAAAAAAGGAGAAATGTAAAGTGTTAACTTGAGGTGTGTGGGAGGGCAGAAGAAAGGTATAGTTTTGTGAGAATGTTTACTGAAATGAGTGTTCAGAGAGAAAAAAAAGAAGGGGGGTGGGAGAAGACCTCAGCACCACCCACCCCCAAGTGTCTTGAAGCAATACGGTGAAACAGTTGTTTATCATTTAGATTTTTGTGAGATCTTAACCTCCTGAGTTCTTCCACCATGTGTGAAGACTTAGTACAGCGAAGAGGTGAATCTCTAATACATGAAAGAGATTGTGATTCATCTTACTTATTTCTGCTTCCAAGCCACCTCTTCCTTAATAAAGAAACATAGAAGGCTCACTTTTAAACTTAGGCTAAAAAAATATAAAAAATCGACAAATGACAACCTAGCTTTTTTTTTTGCATTAGTAGCGTAAAACACAAAATAAACCAGGCTGCAGTCTTTTACATTAACATTGATCACCAAAAGGCATTACAGTAAACATCTGTAAGAAGATCCTCACCGCACAGGATTTTATTAGGCCCTCGACATTTGTGTACATTTTTAGGAACTTGCTGCTTTTTCAGATGCAAACTGTTTTCTTTTTGAGGTAGATCCTCTCATTTGCTATGGATTATTGGATTCTTGTATTACTTCCCCTTCAGGAGATGTGCTTGCCTTTGATACTTACGTGTTTGTTCCTACTATCTGGAGGTCTCTGGTATCAATATTAAATAGTTTCTCATTTCTGTTGAAATGCGTCAGCCACTTTGGTTGACACTTTTCGGTTGAAATGTCAGTGTTAACTAGTTGTGTCTGAGAAGGTAAATATTTACATTGAGACAACCAGCACTGATGTGACCAACCCAGATGTCAATAGATGCATTGCTGCCTAGTGTCAGATGTTACAGAATCACAGAATCACAGAATGGTTAGGGTTGGAAGGGACCTCTGGAGATCATCTAGTCCAACCCCCCTGCCAGAGCAGGGTCACCTACAGCATGTTGCACAGGACAGCTTCCAAGCAGGTTTTGAATGTCTCCAGAGTGGGAGACTCCACCACCTCTCTGGGCAGCCTGTTCCAGTGCTCCACTACCCTCAAAGTAAAGAAGTTCCTTCTCATGTTAAGATGGAACTTCCTGTGTTCAAGTTTATGCCCATTACCACTCGTCCTATCACTGGGCGCCACTGAAAAAAGACTGCTCCCATCCCCCTGGCATCCTCCCGTTAAGTATTTGTAAGTATTAATAAGATCCCCCCTCAATCTTCTTTTCTCTAGACTAAAGAGACCCAAGTCCCTAAGCCTTTCTCCATAGGAGAGATGTTCCAATCCCCTAATCATCTTCGTTGCCCTTTGCTGGACCCTCTCCAGCAGTTCCCTGTCCTTCTTGAACTGGGGAGCCCAGAACTGGACACAGTACTCCAGATGCGGTCTCACCAGGGCAGAGTAGAGGGGGAGGATGACCTCCCTCGACCTGCTGGCCACACTCTTCTGTTCCAGCTAAACAAGTTCTCTACAGAAAACCCCAAAGGGGGCAGAGTTGGAAGTCTGAGAAGTCATTGTGCTTCTTAGAATAAAACTGTTTTTTATAGAAAGTATGCAGTTTGACTGGCAACAAAGCAGTCATTACCCAGTGGGCTCTTTTCGGATCAGCATTACATTGCTACAGCAGGTATCAATAAAATCTAAACTATTATATTTCGTAACAGAGTATATACTAGGCTTCTAACAAGATTCAGTCACTGGAAAAGCAGAAAGTTCCGTGGATGTGTCAAAGCTTTAGTTCATGTGCAATCCGTTGTGCTGGCATAATAAGGCTGGGTTTGATCTTAACAGCAGCTTGTAAGAGTATTTATTTTTCTTTTTAGAGGCATAGAAAAGACTGTGTATTCCAGCTGAAAAGGGAAGCTGGGATTACTCTTGAGTTATCACGGCAACTAGGAGATTCCTTGATTTAAATTGTTTCAAATTATGAACGCTGCTATTTTGTGGCAGAGTATTAATATTACCAAAAATACAAGTGGGTTGGGTTCTGCAGAGTCCTCTGTAGTCACCTAAAAGGTTTCCATATGGAATTTAAATTGAAGGAAGTCTCTCTGCTGGTAATACAGCTTTTCCATATCAAAGCCACGTATGGGAGCTAGACCAGGTGCCAAATCCTCACAGGAGACAGCATGTTTCATGTTCAGGAGGCTGTAGAGTCACCAGCTAATCTTCACAGGGCCTTTGTGGTTGGCAGATATTTCTAAGTCAGCCTGGTTTAGATGCCTCCAGTCACCCACATTCAGAACGTGGGCACTGAAACTAAAGAAAGGGAGCAGGTTTTTAATTTTCAGAAACTCGGCGAAAATCTGTGTTTGCTTCCTAAAGTGAAACACCTGATTCTGTATTTAGAGTCTCTGCTTTTGGAAGCGCTGGATCGAATGAATTATAAAACGCTCTGTTAGCCTACTGGAGCTGTATTTCTAAGTCCAAAATCCAGAGCACAAGTTTTTCTCTAAACAGGGAAACAAGTAGCTGTTGAAAATACTTTCTCATCAGGTCACCACCTGATCAGGATTTAATTTTTCCTTAACTGCTTTTTTTTTTTTTTTTTTTCCTAACTGAACTAATACTCTATTCTCACAAACCCAAGGCAGTTGGTTCCTGGCCTCTTGCATTGCAGTATCCAATTTGTCACCGGTGTTTTGGGTTACTTTGCATTTGACGTAATGCGTCAACTGGCCTGACTTAAAGGGGGAATTCCAGTGGCGATTCCATTGTCTGCACCAAGGTTTAGTTGGCACACTCTATTTTTATAATGTCTTGACTCTTAATTGTTATCATTGAAACAAATATGCTTAGATTATTATATACCAGAGAGTTTTTTTTCTTCTTTCAGGTGTCTGCTGGAGTGCCTCCAGAAGGGGATCAGAATGGCCTCATGGGGAGAGTGGATGAAGGCGTGGATGAATTTTTCACTAAGAAAGTGACAAAAATGGATTCAAAGTAAGTTCAAATTTATTTTTTTCTTAAAAAATGAAATAAAAATAAAAAATCCACCCTGATAGCTGGGCACTTGTAAGTTGTATTTGACTTCTGTTTCCAACATCCAAGGTTGCTGTTGTCAAAGCCAGAAAATACCTTAGTGGTCAAGACATTGTGAAGTCAATTACCCTCCCTTAAAAATGACTACTTTGCAATAAATTGCTTTAATATGCCATGTGGAGGGGATTATTGACTAGTGTGTATTTTTATAATTCAGTTGAGTTCATTTTACCCTTCAGTGGAGCTTGTTAGAGCTGAAACAGAGCTGTGTATTGGTTGAGACTCTTTTTTCTAGTGCTGGTAGTACACACGAGCATCTCTGTCTAGTAAGGACTGCCATTGGGCACAGTGTTTTGATAGATGAGAGTAGATTTATGTTCTTTTAGAAATATATTAAAGCTGTGTTTGACCAATTTGTAGTATTCCAGATTTAGGCAATACGTTAATCTGAAAGATATGTCGTCTTCAGCTTTCTATAAGGGTTATACAGTTTAGACAGTTGCTTTGTAGCTGGTTGTAAATTTACAGAACCATGGATCTAGATATCTTTGCGTTCATGCATGTTCGTGCACATACCCACACAGAGACACATACACACAAATACTTGCCTAAATAAATGGGAAAGCTAGGGCGATTTCCAGACCATTTGGAATGACCCTTTCTGTGCTGCATGTGACACCCATTAAGGAAAATGGTAGGTGTTAAATGGTAGATAGCTGTGACAGGAAAAGCAAATGTTTTAAAGTCACTGTGAGTTATAAATACCCACAGTGACATGTGAAGCTACGTGTGATACATTATGTGTAGTGGTGAAATTATGGTAGCTTTGAAAAATGGATTAGCCAGGTTAAGTTCAGGGTGCTCGCGGACTACTGCATCCTCCTGTGCTTCCCTTGGGCGCTTGCCAGCCACTCATTTCAGATGTCCCCGTGAATTCACACTATCCCTGTGTGCCCATCCCTGGCCATGCCCGTGGCTAGGGTTCTTTGCTCCATTTGTTGCACCACTGGCTCTTTCTCCAGTTGGGGTGCTTGTATGCAGATGTGTTTTGTGCCCAACTTTCCCCTCGAATGTGAATACTCTGCTCATAAGATGCCTGTAGAAAATCTTACTGGGAGGTGGGTTGTTTGGGTGTTGATTTTTATTTTTTTTTTTTATTTTATTTTTTTATTTTGAGGAGGGATGGAAACACTATAAAGGTGATCTCTTTCTGTTCCTTACTGAGAGAAGGTGGCTGTGCCAACTAGTTCCTCTTTCAAGCAGGGCCCTTAACAGACAAGATCCTCCAAAAGCTGTAAATCATGTGCCTGGATCACTTGTTATCCTTTTACTAATGGGCAGATACAAAGCAGAGGTAGCTCACTGTGGAAACGGAGTGAAATTGTATGTGCATAGACAGCTTGGGCAGAGCTCCACTGAAGCAACACCTCCCTGGTGTTGGAAACAGCTGGGTGCCCAGTGCAGATGAAATGGCTCCCTCTTTTCATTATACCATGCACAAGGCCGGCATAGGAATCCTCAAGACAGTATGATCAATGTTAATTGTCCAGTTTTTAATTTAAAGACGCCAGCTAATGGCTGAGCCTAGGGCAACCGATGGATCATACAAAAGATTGGCTTTGCCCAGGACAAGTAATTTGGTACTATTTAAAAGAGAGGGAGGAGGGGAGTGAAGAGTTTAAAATGTCTGTGTGTTTTATTAGGAGACCATCAACTAAAAGTTCAGACAGCAGTGAGCCCAGTGAAACCGGTGATGAGAAGAAGAAAAGGGACTCAAGGAAGAGTGGCTTCCTTAACTTAATCAAATCAAGAGGCTCCAAATCTGAACGTCCCCAGACTGTGGTGGTGGCAGAGGAGCCCTCCTCGCCCAAGGTTGCTGCAAAAAGTCCAGCTGTAGACACAAGCAGGAAGGAGGTAAAGCCTGCAGAGCAGAACGGTGGTACAGAGCGATCTGAGGAATTAAAGACGCCAGACTCGCTGGAAGAGGTGCAGCCAGACGATGCTGCAAAAGCTGAGAGGGGTGACAGCAAAGGAAGCCCACAAGGAGGCCGGAGGTACGGCGTGCAGGTGATGGGCAGTGGACTTCTTGCAGAAATGAAAGCCAAGCAGGAGAAGAGAGCAGCCTCTGCTCAAAAGGTGAAGACAATTTAATTTCTTTTGAAAAAATGAGAAAGGGGAGGTGGACTGGGTCTACAAGGGTTGGTGGCTGGGGCTTGAGACATCGGTCCTGCTTTCTACCAGGGGTTATGGTGTTCCTGCAAGAGGATTGCTTTCTGCTGTGGTGGTTGAACATAAATACCTTGGCCAAGGACTAGGCTGCACATGTGGAGCAGGAGATGCACACTTAAGCCTTCACTTTCTCTCCTCTTGTGGAGGAGGTGACACCAGCTTTTGCACTTGATGTCAGGCCATCACAAGCACAGAAGAGGACATGTAACTGTTTGCATGTGTTACAGAGTAATTTTGGGGCAGTCATAGTTTGGATGTCTCCACTCTATGGTGCATGGTTTGTTCACGTGTAATGGAAGCATGTTTTACAAGAGGTAAAGCTAGGACAGACTCTTACTGTGTGCTCCCTGCACACTGGTACCTCAGGTGTTTGTCAGAGTCAACTACAGTGGTAGCTATCTGTACTCTTCTCTTTTGGAAGGTGATGTAGAAAGATGGAGAGATGTACTGTATTTTAAATTATGTATTCCATGCAGAGAAGTAAATCTGGCTTCCAGACACTGTTTACAGCTATTCAGCTTATACTTTTCTCGTTGCACTTTTTTATTTTTGTGTCCTTTTGTCCTACACCTAATTATTTTTATGCCTTTGATTTCTGTATTTCAAATACTAACACTCAAAGAAATAAGCATACATTTAAAAAAAAAATAAATCTATTCCCAGTTATGTGTCCAGATTCGCTTCGCTCTATCTAATTTTCTCGTCTGTGAAATGCTGATGCTGAGCCGGAACCCTGCTTCACTTCACAAACACGTGGAGTGGAATATCCTTGTGTTACTCCAAAGCATTTTGTGCCAAACTGTTTTGCCTGATGCCCATTTCCCATTGAACTTCCTCATTGTCGGCCCCTGCTTCCTTCCAGCTGAAGCTGGCATGTTCTAAAATTACCAAAGGATCGGCCTTTTTTCATTCCTCCTCTCTTCCTCTTTGTCGTGCAGTGCGCTCAGATACTATCCATTCCCCACCATTTATCCCTGGAATTTGGAAGGTGTTACCTTATGGCAAAGCTCATTGCAAGCTCTGTGTTTTCCTTCTAGTAACACATTGCATAATTATCTTACTGTGACTGAGCAAGGCACCCAAAGTTCATTTTTACCTTTCTTCATGCTCTTACAGTGCTTGCCATGATCGTAGAATCATCATAGAATAGTTTGGGATGGAAAGGACCTTTAAATGTCATCTAGTCAAGCTCCATCCAACCTGACTTTGAATGCTTCCAGGGATGGGGCATCTACCACCTTTCTGGGCAGCCTGGTCCAGTGTTTCACCACCCTCATTGTAAAAAAATGTCTTCCTTCTATCTAGTTTGTCTGTCCCCATCTTATAAACCCCCTTTAAGCACTGAAAGGCCACAATAAGGTTTCCTCAGAGCCTTCTCTTCTCCAGGCTGATCAACCCCAACTCTCTCAGCCTGTCCTCATAGGCGAGGTGCTCCAGCCCTCTGATCATTTTTGTGGGCCTCCTCTGGACCCGCTTGAGCAGGTCCCTGTCTTTCTTCTACTGGGGACCCCAGAGCTGGACGTAGTACTCCAGGTGGGGTCTCATGAGAGTAGAGTAGAGGGGGAGAATCACCTCCCTCGCCCTGCTGGCCACGCTTCTTTTGATGCAGCCCAGGATATGGTTGGCCTTCTGGACTGCCCCATTCCTGCAGACCCTGGAGTCCTGTAATAAGCAGATTCAGATTTAACATGGTACTCTATGGCTCATTAAAGTCACCCTCAGCATAAAAATTCTTTTTCCAAAGAAATGAGCAATTCCCACCTTTCTCATTAGTGCTGGGTAGTGCCCATCCATAGTCTCACTGATTTCTAAGAGACCAAGTAAAATGCCATATGATTTTAAACGAGTGCTATGCTCCGCCCATAACTTATAAAATACTGAGTTACTCCAGATTATATAAATTTTTACAACTGCATAAACTGTGTGTGCTTGGTACTCTTCAGGTTCTTAACACCTGTCATCTAAATTTAATCCGATCTAGAATGATGTCTCTAAGGCAGAATATTAGCATGAGTAATTTTTTTTTTTAGTGGGGAGAATAAAAGTCTGCTTCAGTTGATTAGCGTTCATAGCATTGGTTGAAAACTTGAATTTAGGCTATCAGAAAGAAAGGTTGTTGCCTTTTCCCAATATTTTTTTCCACCCTTTGCTTTGTTTCTGGTTGGAAAGGTTATCCCTCTTCTTTGAGGTTTGTCATTAGTTTCCTGTTCTCTTTAAGTTATTGTTGTATTAATTTCTTAACAGCCTCTCCTTTTTATATTATTTGTTTTAGAATTTAAAAAAAATATTTTCTTGATCTCACTTTTCATTAGATTTTGTAAAAAAAAAAAAAAAAAAAATATGGAATGCAACAGTAGGTCTTTTTTTTTTTTTTTTTTGAGTGACAAGAAAACTGAATTGAAATAGGAATCTGTATGCAGAAGGGCACTGGGTTATCCATTCTTGATGTTGCCCAGACCACACAAAATCGAACTACTGTTCAAAAGAATTTTTCGCCTACTTTATCCTAGATTGTAATATCGAACAATTTAGTTTTGTACTTTTATTCATGATATTCATGAAGGTGAAAATCATGCGGTATCCTGATGGTTGAGCTATGGAAGAAAGCATCCCACTGCTGTTACGTTGTTTAGGATGGGTATAACATCAACTTCCCTAACATCTTCAAATTTATTAGAATTCCAGTATGATATAAAATTGGGTTTTTCTTTAAGGTACAGATGGCTGCTTATATTCTGAGCTATTTTACGTGAAAACAAAGCCAGAAGGAATTTACTATTTCATTCATACCCTACCGCAGTCTTGTTACAGATACAAGTGATGAGCAGGTGCACAGTAGATGGAAAGATGGTAGATGCTTTTTTGTTTTCTTTTGCTTAGAATACAACCTGCAAATTGGCGTTAACGGTAGAGACGAATATTTTCAGATTAGCATTGCCTCTAGGCGTGCATAAAAAGATCTTTTAGCTCCATCTAGTGTTTACAGACTGAATTTTTAAATACCTCAGGCAAGACCTTCATGAGCAGACCAAGATCACCTGTAATGCGTTTATTCACTCTCAGTGATATTCAACTCTGTAGTATTTCCCAGCCTTTCATGAATTCCTATTAAAAGTAGAGCCTGGTCAGTATTTATCTACATGATAAATTCACTTGCATTTATGTGATATGATTGACAGGTGCTCAGAGTAAATTTTTGCAGCAACTGTTCCGTGTTGTCTCGGGACTGTAAGCGGTTTGTAATGTGTGTACAGTAGGTAGCCAAACAAGCTACCATCCTAATTGCATTTTTAAGTACTACACTAATAGATGCCAGCGCTGGCTTTTGTACTTCTCTCTGTATGTACATGGTCATATTTCCCCAGTAGACCCATAACTAGGGAGGGAGGAAGGAGTTGTGATGAAATTAGTTTTCATATTCTTGTACAGCTCCTTTAAAAGTAATTTACTGTAGCTGTGTTACACATGTATCTTCAATATTTACATAGGTAAATGAGTGTTTCAGTGAAAGTTAATGAGAATCCACATTCCATGAAGAAATTGTTGGTAAATTTAGTTCTCAAAGGTTTTTTTTTTTTCCAAGGTGTGGAATAAAAATCCAGTAAGTGGAGTGTGGTACTCCATTCGAAAATATATAGCCAAGACAGTCTTACAAAGCAACACATGGCTTTAGGAGGTGGAGAGGTGAAAATTTAGCCAAAATAACAATGACAGTCAAGAAATGGGAATAAAAACTGAGTTTTCACTCAGTGGTACAAAGCATAATGTTCCTGCTAGCTTTGGAGGGGACTTTGTTTTGTCTGTATGGGCACCATATCTTACCATTCTGGCCCTACAAGTCATGGCATTTCTAGAGTACTTTTGACCAGAGGACTTCATAGTTTGGCTTACACGTTGTTTTTAACATACAGATGATTTTATACTTAAAACCTGTAGAAATATAATCTTTTAGAGTGAATAGTTATATCTGTATCAGGGTAGTTTTACCGTGCAGGAAGTTTAATGATGATTTTGATAGCATCCTTCTTAATGCAGTGTGCCTTTTTAAGCGCACACCTGTACTTAGTGGAGAGGTTGGGAGGTAGCATTACCCTGCCAGGTCTCACTCAGGAATGGCGGGCACTCAGCATCTCCATACCTCTCGTTGTTGTATTAAAGAGAGGCTTTGTTTGAGGAGCTGTGGTATTACATGAAGAAAATGGAGTTATCAGTAAATCTGTAAAGGCCAACCATACTGTATTCTGCATCGCTCCCTAAAATCTGCTTCTCCTGAAATGTCTGTGTTGAATTACCACCACAGGGGAAAGACACATGGCCAGCGGGGATACTTAGCGATCGTTCCTTTATGTTTATATTTAAAATACTAATTTGACTCTAAATCTGTCAATATTTCTATAATTAGTATGTGCTCCTGCTACTTGTAACCATTCTCTTCCTTCCTATACTTCCTGTTGTCCAGTTTTTATCTACATTCTATCCCAGGAATCTTTTAGATTGTAAGCTCCAAAGGGCAGTGATCATGTTTGACATACGCTGTGTGGCACGCGGTGCAGGTTTCTAAATGCTGTGGGACAGTCAGATCCCAGCACGAGTCATGCAGGGTTGGTGTTGCAGCGGTAATAGCAGTGTCCTGAATATGTGAACAGGACTTATGTGTGGATATATAACCAAATGCAATGGTCGTTAGCACAAATCATGTGCTTTAAGTCATTTGCCGCACTAACTGTCTTGAAATAGCGAATCGAGGTCAAGATTGAAGCTACCTGCAAAAGTCTATCCCCGCTTTTTTAGTTTCAAAAAAATCTCACTTTTTTGCCCAGTCTTACCTTTATAAGGTTTTCTGCCATAGTATATCCTGTCCTTATTTTGATGCACTTTTTGTATCCTCTCTTTTATCCATCTGCTTAAGCATCGGTAGCAGGTAAGACAGTAAAAGGAAGCTGGTTCTTTTACAGACACATCAGCTGCGTATCTAAACTTCTCCTGGTGAATACACAGGTTTCAAGCTCACTTGGGCTGGACCTGTGATTTGACAAAAGTCTTCACACCATTTCTTTTGAGGCCAGGATGTTAGGAAAGCTATGCTTGAGAATACAAGACTTAGCCTTATCAGCAAGATAAACAAGACTCATGAGTGCCTGAACAAGAAGCCCCCTTTCTTTAGAGGTGCTGAGAGTCCAGCAGCCCTTGTGATGGGTAGCTATAAACACCTTTCATGAGGTAAGGTCTATTTATTTTAAAAGGAAGCCTGTAAATATGTGGGCACTGCTGCTTCTGTAGTTGTTATTTTATCTAAAATAAAAAGTTGTTCGTGTATGTGGAAGAGCATAGGATCCATTCAGCAGTCCTATATTCATAATCTAGATCTTCAGAAAAAGGCTTTTTGTTTTAAACCTAAGCAAGGAATTTTTAAATGTGGAGCTACATTTGAAGAAAAGACTGTTTCTAGCTATCACCTTTAGTTTCAACTCTTGTACATTAGGATACCTGTAGCTTAGAAGACAGGCTGTCATTGCAGCCATGCTGGACGTGTGGCAGTATTGTTATCAAATCAGCATGGTTTTATTCCTACTTAGAACTCCAAGACCTCAAAGAGAAGCAAGGAGAGAGAATCCACTGTTTATTACTATCACTGCTTTCTCTGTCTTATGTCTTCCAAGTTAGAGGGTTTTTTCTAACGGAATGACTAGGTTGTATTAATTACAGATATATTATTAATATGAGAGCTTTTCTCACTCTTTCAGAAACTTGGGAATGACACAACTAGAGAGTCTTTTGACACGGCGGTGAGCTCAGAACGACTGGATGGAAGTGGTACAGGTACCTTTCGGTTTTCCGGTATAAACCCTTTCTAGAAAATGCAAAATGCCTAACCCTCAAAAATCTCACTTTCCTCTCCTGTGCCGACAATCGCTCAAGCAAAATACAAGCTTAGGCAAAGCGAAGAAGAAAAGTTTACCTTTTGTACTGTTTGACAGCACTTCCTGTGAAGTCAGCTCTACGGCTGAGTTGGTGGCTCAGCTTTTTCTTTGTGCTGCACTCTTGTGCTTCATGTTGCACAGGAGGGAGACTACTTTTGGTGCGTGTGCCTGGGGCACCTTTGAAAGGAGGCTGACTTGCAATGGGATCAGCAAAGCTGAAGCTGAACCCAGGAGCCAGCAAAAATATCGGTGCATGAGGAAGTGAAACTCCTGAATACACCTGATACACCTAGATATGACCAATTTGCGAGGTTTATAGTAGTCAGTGCAGCTACCAGCTTGAGTAGTCCTGGCTTTCAGCTATTGAAAAAGGCAATGGCAGCTGGCTCTTCCCAGGGTTTAGCCAGCTTGACCAAAGCCATGGCTGTCTGTGAAGCTGTGGAAACCCTGGGGCACTGCACCCATGCACAGAATGACTCCCCATCATGTCCAAAGTGGAGTCCAGCCTTGTAGGGCTTACAGCACTGACCACCTCTGCAGCTCGCCCTGCTGTGCACCAGTCAAGGGGCTCTTGTCAAGCTGTAGTCGTGGGCCCTGACGCGGCAGTGCCTGCAACACAGCCTTCCGAGTACAAGAGGAAAGCCTGGTCTCTCTGCATACCTGCACACTTCTGGGAGTGGCCTGTGAAGTGTTCAAAAGGGATTCAGTTCTGGTGATTTGTGTGCGCTACATTCAGTGGACCAAAGTAGTGGGCTGAGCGGGGAAATCCAGGTCTGATTTCTCAACGATCCCGCAAGCACGGCACGTAGAGTAGCTGCAATATACGGAAGCAAGGCTGAAAAAACAGGCAGAAATCTAAATCCAAGTGTGGTCAACTTGGTTGAACACTTCTGAAATCCGTGTTGAGTTTTTGTACCTTTCTAAAGCTAGTTTTAAAAGACAGCATATTCAGAGCATGCTGGACTCTATAAATCAGCGCTTTTAAAGCCTGCTTATCTTTTGAGGAGGACGACCTTGTGTACTATATGTGTCTCCTGATGTCATCAAACTAAAATCAGAGGAGCAAGAATAGTCTGTGCTCAGGGCATTAAAGTAGTTGGAGGTGTCTGACGCTAATTTTTCTCTGGTCCTTGTTTCTGTATATGACACATTTCACCTCCACCTCACTGCACTGTGCATTCCCCTTCCTTTTGGCCTCCAGCTGTCAGTTCTTTCTTTACCACTCTTGCTTGAGAACCCCCTGAGGCTATTCTTAGATGTTGCAACTACAGTTTGTCTTTGTTTTGGGATAATTTATTTTAACTTACTGGGTTCTAAATAATATTAGCAGGCCTGAGGTTAGGAAGGTAAGAGAGAGAGTTAACAGAAAGTTGCTGGATTTTGCTACAGGAAAACTATAGGTAGTGATGCTGAAGGATAATAAGGGTGTTTTTTACTCCTTGCTTCATGTCAGGATATTGCCTGCTTTTTTGTATGCACACACGCACACAGAGGTGGGGAAGGTGTCCTGCTGTTTCACTCGCAGTATGAAGGTCTATTGCATGCATGCAGACACGAACTCTCCCTGTCACGTGCTTACACAAATACATATGCGCCACACAACTCTATATGATTTGCCAGAGTTTAACTCCAACTGGGTTGAAAAACAGCTACATAAGCTGGAAAAATGTATTGGAGATTGACTTGCAACAAATTATATCAACACTCCCCTCCCTCCTACTGCCATTAAAAAGTCTGTGCTCAGCACTTCTGTAACAAGTAGGATTTCTGACTGGGAATAGCGGGTAGGTAGGTCAGGCCATCATCTGTGAGCACGTACTTGGCTTTGCCAGGTACCCAGGCCACCAATCTGCATTTCAGTTAGCCTGTAATTCTCTTCTGAGAATAAAGATGTGACAATTGTTGAAATTTCCAAGCTAATGTAAAAGTTCCAAGTTTTTCATTATACTTGCTGCATAAAATCCTTCAACCTTCAGAAAGCTGCAGAGTAGAAAAATAGGGCAGGCATTTGGCTTGTTTGCAACCTAGAGTCCAGCAGGCTTTCTACCAACTTGCACAGCTAGATAGGACTGATTTATTCCTTGGAAGTCAGTGTAGCTTTGTCTATAAATACTTTGGGTTTTGTTTAGGATAAATAATATGTTGATAAACTTGCTAATGTGTGGAAACCATAATCCATATACAGTTTCATTAGATAAATCAAAGTGTTATATAAAGAATACTTTGATCTCGGCTAAGTTTCAGAATCTCCTCTAGAGCTTGCTAAAAGCAACAAATAAAAAGATGTAGCCTGCTGATCCCATGTTTGGGATTTATTTTCTGGGCCAGGATTTCTCTGTTGATCTTGGATACCCAATGTTTTGTCTGTAGAGGCACAAAACAGCCAAAGGCTGCCTTTTCCACTGATCCATCGCTGCTTTCTCGGCAGGTAGGCTGTACCATCTGCTCACAGAAATATGAAGGGAGAATAAGGTCCAGCCAGCCATCGCCCCAAATATATTAAAAAGGGGAAGATGCCATCACCTCTGAGGCAATTGAATTGTGAAGCTTAGCACATGTGAAAACTGGTGGCTTTAGATGCTTTTCTTGCAGTGATTTTGAAATGTTAGGGGTCCTCTTACACACTCACACAGCAGCACAGCAGTGATATGTGAGCTAATGATGGTATTTGCCACACAAGCGTATCTGCGCGTGGAGCTTTCTGTGTTGCAGGAGACTTTATTTTATGTGTCTGTTTATTTTTAGTGCCTAAACTCCAGCAGACCCTTCCAGAGAGTCGGTTTGCCTTGAATAAAGGTGACTCCATTTCAGCAGCATCAGAAAAAAATTCAAAAGCTGAACCAAAGGCAGAAGCTGGTGCAAAGGCAAGAAGTTCTTCCAATACACCGACCAGCCCAAAACCCCCTCTGCAGTCAACAAAGCCCAGCCTGGCAGGACGACCCACAGTGCCGCAGAAACCACGCTCTGCCTCTCGTACTGGTGAGGAGCTCTTCTGGGCATTTGTTATCATGGAGATCATTTGTTATCCCCAGCTGGGTACTTCTGAGTGGTGTTTGTGTGGGCTATGGAGGAGACACACCCATGGCCGCATCCTGAACAGAAGCTGAATGTAGAGGGACGGGTTCTTCAGCCACTTGCTCTTGACTTGCATCTTTCTTTTCCACCTCCCTCTGTCCTAATTCAAATAAACTTATTAAAACGCTTTAATCTGTGATCTGCAATAGTATAGCCTGAGGAGAAGCTGTTTTGAGTTAGCCTGCTTTCGCAGAAGAGGAGAGCATAGAGACTACTTCAGCATCAAAGCCCTGTTGTAGCAGCACAGACAAAAATATCTGTTTTCTCTAAACACCTGGCTCTAAATACTAAAGTCCTTGGGGTTTTCTGGCAGGCTGCTCTTCGCCCCTCAAGCAAATACCTGTTATTCTTAATAACTTGCACAAACCAACTGTGTCTCATTTGCTTTTTTCCTCACTTTTTTCCTTGTTTTGCCTTTGTTTCTTTTGACTGGAAATAATTGTAACTGTGCTTTTATAACCATGCAAGACTGCCATTTGAATGACTATTAACTTCTGCTCTGTCCTAACCTCCTGCCCAGATACTATCTCAAGGTTTCCAATAGTAGGAAATATTTCATCAGATCTCCCATACACTTGTCTGTCCGCTATTTAATAGGCCAATGTCACAACCCCCTCTTCCCAAAGTACAGCCACTGCACTTGAGGGGAATTAAATGCTAGTTACTGACTCCCCCAGTAGCTATGGCAAATACAGCTTATTAATCACTAATGACTGAAAAAGTGTGAGCGTATCCATCTGTAAGAGTTCACAGACCTCTAGGCTTTTCCCATACTCACTGTTGACCTTAGAAAGATGTCATTTCTGGTGTGGAGGAGGGGGCAGAAGGATATTGCAGCCTCCTTTCTCTGCTTGATGTGTAACCTGAGCATTACTTGGTCTCTGCACTCCAGTGGGTAGAATATTGTTCAAATACAGAATCACCTTCAGGTTTTAGATGGCTTTAAATTTGTTTTATTGACCATTTTAGAAATGGTCATAAAAGTGAGAGGTGTCGGGAATGATAATCATGAAGATGAATATAACAGGAAAGCATGGTTTATTTGGTGATGCTTAATCTGTAGAATAGGCAGTGTGTTATCTCAAAATCTTAGGTATCAGAAAGACCTGAGCTATCTATTTCTGCCAGCTCCCGTTTCCTGCAGAGAGAGCATACTGTGGGTTTAACACAGAGAGTAATTAATATTTACTCATAATAGGCCAGCTCCTCGGGTGGCAGTAAAAGCAGCACTGTCTCTGTTGCAGTCTAACTTCTATTCTAGTGCTTGTAGCAACCTGCTGGCTAAGCATGACCAGGCGATGTGATGAAGAAGCCAAGCAATAATCCTAGTTACGCTCTTACTCCCGCTGTTGTTTCCAGCGCTGTGGCCAGACTAATGGTAGCAAATTTTTGCTAGGTAATCTGAGGGCAAAGGAGCACAGCTCAGATGTCCACAAATTATCAAAGCCTGAAAGTGGTTCCTCAATAAAGCAGGTAACAGCTTTAGTTCAGAAATACATAGCTGTGTTTGCCAAGCACTGTGCTCATCCATATGTTGATACCGAGCTTCCCAAAGCAGCTGGCCTCACAGGCCCATCAAAAGCATGGAGAAGGTCCAAAAATTGGTGTGTCTGTTCAGATCAAGTTGCATTTGGAAGGTTATCACTTCCCTGTGCTGAAAGTAAAAAGTTTGACTCCTTTGAGGTGGCTACTCAACAGTGAGATAAATTCCTGTTGATTTCCAGTATGCAGCTGAATTAACTCATTTTACAGATGAGCAGTACAGGTTCTCTCTGGAACCTGGAACAGGAATTCTGAGTTCCTTTATCCTTCTGTCAATACTAATGTATCTTCCTAGTTCCTCTGTTGCATACACATGCCACTGTTTACTCTTGGGAAGCAAACATACAAGCGGTTTAAGTAATCCATTGAAGCTCTACTTCCCTGCTGTCCAAACAAAGGGTCTCTAGTGTGAGACTGAAAAGGTCTTCCTGTAAGGACTGGAAAGATGATAGTCAACTTGCCATACATAACACATATCCAGCCTTTTAGAGAAAGAAGATATCCAGATGGTTTAAACTATGGATTTGAATTTAAATTCCAGATTTCCTCACAGTCTAGAGGACGAAGTATTTTTTCTGTTTAGAAACTTTTTGCAGATGCTATCATGTTATGTACTGGCAATTTATTCCTGGAAGTACAGAGTTCTGTAGGCTATTTATGAAGTTTCTGTCACTGGTTTGCTTTTATGCCTTGTGACTGTGAAACAGGACATCTAAATTGATCAGTTCATTATGTTTCAGGACAATAAAAATATAAATAGAAAAAATATTTCCAAAAATCCATCCAAAATAATTTTCAGCTGTTCTTTGCAAATTGCATACTTATGTCTTGCAGGAAATTCAGTTGGTCCCAACAGATTTCTATTTGTGCTACAATAGCAGTACCCATTAAAAATGCTGAAATTGAGATCTTTGCTTTGACCGTTAAAATTCTTTCACCTGGACTGAGGGCCATCACGTGTTCTTTTGACATAATGTAAATTCCTGAATCCTTCTTCTGACACAGATTCTAGCTGGTTTTTGTTTGTGTATTGTGTTGAGCTTTGGCCCATCATAACGATAGCATTTCTGTGAGCTACAGTGCAAATAAGACTTCTCACCCTTTTTTTCATGGTACTCTACAGAGGATGCTCCGGAGTCTCCCTCTGGCCCTAGTTCCCCAAAAGTTGCCCTGCTTCCACCTGTGCTGAAGAAAGTTCCTTCTGATAAAGAAAAGGATGGTCAGAGCAGCCCCACAGTCAGATCATTTTCTCAAGAAGGTAGGAGTGTTGGTATAACTGCTGTTCCAGCATGCTTGTCTTCTGCTAGAATTCGATGTGTCATTGTCCCCTGATTTGTTTTCACTTGGAAAGGAAGAGGGTTATTCATTTGGAGGAAAAAAGGAGCAAGGAAAGTGTATCTGGTCTCCTGTTCCCCATCTCCTCCACCCATGGGTTGGTGCTCTGTATTTTCTTCCTTTGACCAAACCAAGTGAAAGATTAATCCCTTGGTATTAATAATGTAGCTGAACAACTAAGGGAGTTTTGTGTTGTGTATATTATGGTCTAGTTTGGTCTCAATCGAGATGCTGATTGGTATTGGTCACACACAATAATGTGAAATGCAGCTCTGTAGTTCCGCACATTTCCAGGGAAGCAGCCATGATTTTGTTCCTTGCAGCCAGCCTGGTGCTCTGTCTGTACTCCTCCTTTCTGTGGGGTCACTGCATGTGACCAAGTTCACCACCTCCTCGGGCAGCGAGTCTCTGTGTGCCAGGGCAGGGCTTGGTACCTTTTACACACAACAGTAGTCTGCTGCCTTCTCTTTGCTGCTTTTCATGTGTGCGCTGGATCTCTACTTTTGCTGATGCGTTTGCTGGTCCACAGTTGGCCCTCAGAAGAGCTAAGGCTTCCTCTGATAGCATAGGATACGTGGAAAAGTAGTCACAGAAACACTGCTCAATGTGGTGTTAGCTGGCACAAATGACAAGGTTGGACACCTCCAGGTGAGACCCCTTCCTTGCTGGGACTCTCCTCAAGAAAGACAGTGAGTCCCGTTTCCATCCCGAGGTGACTGCCATCACTTAAGCTGTGAGAAAAAGGGGTGCCCTTTCACACTCTGCCAGCAGTTTTTTCAGTGTAGGATGGGGGCAGACGAGTCAAGGCAGATACGTAACACTGGGTTGTGAAGACTGAGAAGTTGTGCTGCCCACAGACCCCACCGCTACCTTCTAGATGAGAGGAGGGACAAAGCCATCCCCAAAGCGGGATGGTCCAGAGGTGTATTTTGAGAAGCTTCTCCCTTTCTCTCCTAGAACTACCATTTCCTTTATGAAACTACATACCTGACGATCTGGGGTTTGCTCCGCTTGCAAAATTGTTGCTGTGGTGGCTACCGTTTGGTGACCACGTCAGCACATGTGCAGTATCTGTCTACAGGTTGTGGCCTCGCTTCAGCCACCTGTATGATGCTGTTGGGCTGCTCTCATGCCATAAAGGTAGCCCAGCAGAACCACCACAATCTCACTGGGTTATGTAGAGGTAGCAGGACACAGCACACCCAAGGGCTTCCTCTGTGTCTGGAAAGAACCGAGGGTTCAGATGGTCTACATTGCCAAAAGCTGCCCAAGTCTGTGGCTCAGGGTCCCGAAAAGACATCAGGGTGTCTGAAGTGCCTCCTGGTGGCTGTGGCACTGTGAGGGCTGCCAGGCGGAATAGAGCCTTGTTATTCTTCTGCCTTAAGTCCCATCAGAGCCTGTGTTGAAACAGGTGAACTGGGCTACAGCTTAGGAATCAGACTCGCTACACTGGTGCCATCATGTTGAGAATGGTTGCAGGCAAAGGCTTTTGCCACAAGACAACTCTCTCAGCTGCCGCCTGGTACCTGCATATGCCATAGTCCTTGTATTCTCACCAGCTTTTCACCAGAGACACCTTTTTACTGCATAACTGGATGTAATGGGACTTGTTGCAGGTACATTTTAATGTGAGGTTAACCTCACCGTTTCTGTGCTATATGCCTTCTCCCGTCCCCCTGTCATGAGAGGGGACGTATTGGAGAAGCAGGGAATATTGGATCATAACTACAGTCCTTCTGTGTTACAGAAATCTCTTAACATAGCAGAGATTTGAGAAGGTTTTGGAGTATGTGGTTGTCACGTGAGAAGAGGGACAACGGCTTTATTTTTAAAACGTGTTTGCTGTTTGCAAATCCTGACATAAAAGGGGTCAGACACTGTTATTTCCTCACTCCTTGCTCCCTTAGACAGACCTCCACAGCCGACTTGACTAAACATAGGGTTTTCTAGTTGCCACTGCATTGCGCTGTACAAATTTTATCAATAATAATTTAGAACGGCTAAAATTGGGTTTCTAGGTCCTTATGGAGCTGCTATGCTTTGCATGAAATTGTTTGGGAAA